GTCAAAGATAAAATATAAATTCCACTCGTATTAAACTTGTGTCGTCGTCGTCGTCGTCGTCGTCCGGATATTCGGTGTATACTCGCGAAACTTCGTAAGAAACTTTAAAGGAGGAAACCGGCGGCGGTCTGACACACACGTTCGAGTTGGCAAAGCAAAAGTGGCCAGGTGAATATAAGCAAGAAAGAGAAAGAGAGAGAGAGAGAGAGAGAGAGAGAGAGAAAGAGAGATTTTATTGGCTACAAGCAAGTTGGCTTACAAATTCGACGCTTAGTTTATACCTTTCGGTATTACAAGAAACATCACACACACACACACACACACACACACATCTATATTTCTCTTTCTAACTAAAACTAAACTAATGTAAACCTACTCTCTCTCTCTCTCTCCCTCTCTCTCTATCTCTTTCTCTCTCTCTTCTTGCTATCATCGAAAATAGAATGATCGACGTTGAATAGATGGAATTGATATGACAGGTATATTAGAAAGAAATGTGTGTGTGTGTGTGTGTGTATAGAAATTAAGCATCGATTCGAATACAACAACAATAAAAAAAAGTATCTTCAAACGTCAATCTTTGTATTATTATTACAAAGATTTAAATCAATGTATAAATGTTGCATNTAAAAAAAAAAAAAAAAAAAAAAAAAAAAAACTAAAAAACAGAATGAGAGAAAGAATGAAACGTGTATTATCTCACGTGTAAAAATTAACAGCAAAACAAGATAGAAATATATTCGAACAAATTGATTTATCAAACTGTTGTTATTAATAATTGTTTTTTTTAATTTAAACAAAAAAATATAAATTCTCGCTCGTTTCCTAGAAAATAATAAAATACTTTCTTTATTTCTCTCTCTCTCTCTCTCTCTCTCTCTCTCTCTCTCTCTGTGTAAAAAATGCGTCATATTTCTGTTGTTTGCAATAAAAATACAACAATAATATCTGTCGTCATAATTAAAACAAATTCCATCGATTTCTTTATTTCTTTTTTCTTTTTTTGATAACTCAACGAATCGAAGAAAAAAAAAGTGTCAGGTGTTGGACGTAAAAAATAAAAAAAAATAAAATAAAAAAATGAAAAAATATGAAAGTTATTATTGGCAAACATAATTCTTTCTGAAATACATTAACAAATCTGACACCATCGAGAATGCTATTACTAACTAACTCTACTAGATTTTCTTTCAAGTATTTTTATTTTATTTTATTTTTTTTTTTTTAAATATACGTTTGTTGAATATTTTTCTTCAAAGTATTATTATTATTATTATTATTTTCCAAGAATCGTATTACACGATGATAACCAACCAATCAATTCGTATCAATTTTATATCACTGATAAAAAAACACACACATTTACATTTACATTGAAACACGTAATRTACTATATAAAAATTCGATTGATTGATTAATTGATTAATTACAATTTAACAAATGTAAAATATTCTTTGTAAATAATAATAATAAAAATTAAATGAAAGAAATACTAGTACAACACACATTTCAATAAATATCAAATTTCGAGAAAGGATCTTTCTCAAGAGTAATCGACGAATAGAAATAGAAAAAAAAAGAAACAAATTATTTGATTGAATGAGAGTGAATTCTATCGTTGAACGATATTCGATCGATAATAGGTGTAGAAGAGAGAAAGAGAAGAAAGAGAAAGAGGAGGAGGATGGGGAGGGGAGGGGGATTGTAGGTCTCTCTTTCTGCTTTTGACGGTTCAATTACTTTCATAAGACGAGTATCTAACGAGCCTTCGTCCATCCGTCCGTCCGTCCGTCCATCCATCTATCCATCTCATCCCATCTCATCCCATCCCATCTACGTTTGCTCGACCGATCTCAAAATTAGATTCTATGAAACGTATAAAACACAAGCCGGAACAGAGAGAGAGAGAAAGAGTGAGAGTGAGAGAGAGAGAGAAAACGAAACGAGAGTAACTCAAAGAGAAAGAGAGAGAGTAAACCCCCCCCCCACCCCCCCACTAGCCGCGTATCAAATTTATTTAGCATTCGTGTGAATCTTCCTCCCTCCTCCTCCACCACCATGGAAAACAGAACGAGAGGAGAATTCATTCATTTCTCAACTTTCCATTTCTATTCCTAAACTCTCCCCCTCCCCCTTCCGCCTCCCTCCCACTCCTTCTTTTAATCTTCTATCTTTCTCCTTTTATTTCTTTTCTTTCTTTCTTTCTCTCTCAGTCTTTCTCAAAGTAACTCGCCAACTCATTAATTCACTCTTCATCTATATCTATCTTCATCATGTTCTTTTTATCTCTATCCTTTTCTTATCTTTTAGAGTGTGAGTGTGTGTGTGTGTGAGAGAGAGAGAGGAAGAGAGAGGTCAACAAATTTTAACTTTATATTTTATTTTTATTTTGAAGAGAAAAATTGCTGACCATTTTTTTTTTTTTTTCATTGCCCCCGTCGTATTATATTTCATCAAAAAAAAAAAAAATCTCTTTTTTTATGGTGGTGTAACATTTATATAAAACTCTTCCAGTAGTTAAATAATAATAAACTTTTTTGTATACTATATAAATAATATGTGAAATGAAATTTATCATCCTAGGTAAATCCCACGATATAAAAAAAAAAAAAAAAACGTAAACGTTTGTTTTGTTTGTATATTTTTTTGTTTGTTTGTTTTGTACAATTTCATACGTGCAATGAGTGATAGACTAAAAACGAGTAATTCAACGAGTTTATAGAAACCATCCCATACGGAAAGAAAGAGAAACAAACAAAAAAAAAAAAAAAAAAAAAAAAAAAAAAAAACATAGAGACACGTTTTACGCATTTATTTTGTATCCTTCTATGGTGTTCAAGAGAAGGCCATTGGTTGTGACTTGTCCCAGTAACGCAAGGTATTTCATTTGAAATAAAGTTACATAAAAGATTCTCTCTCTCTCTCTCTCTCTCTCTTTCTATCTTGTGAGAGCAAGTAAAGATAGGAATTTAGTTTCAAAGATGATTTTCAAAGTAAAACGAGCTATTTTTATTCGTCTATGTCACATCGAACACATCGGCTAACTCTGCTTCACGACCAATCCTACACCACGTATTTATACATGCGTACATGTGTGTGCGTGTATGTGTGTCTGTGTATGTGTGTCTGTGTATGTGTTATGAATAACTATATAAACAAATATAAATCACCTGGACAATCAATTTATTTGAACACAATTAATTAATTAAAAAAAAAAAAAAACAATCAATGAGATTAATTTTGATCAATTTAATTTGTCAAGTGTCAATCAAATTTTTTGTTCAATGATTTCATTAATTCATCATTTTTGTATCAATCTCAATGAACCTTTTTTTTTTTTTAATATAAAACTCGTATTTTTTTTTTTTTTTTTTTTTTAACGAGAAAACAATTTTAAGAGAAAAATCAAATTAGATTTTTTAATTAAAATTATATTCAAATTTTGTATGAAATAATCAAATATTTTAAGATGATAAATAATTGATTTCTTTCCGGTTCCTCTACATATATATATATATATATATATCACGTATATAGTAGCTGAAAGTTTCTAACAGTACTTTTCACAATCTGAATTTCATTCACGACACCAGCCAACGTTGCAATTCTTGAAAGCTTTCAAAAACTATGTATATATATGTTTCCTGTCTCTACTTTATTCTAGGGTATTTATATAGTAAGAATCTAGATATATTTTGTCTGTATTTCTACTGTAAGAATATACCTACACTCTCCTACTATTATATTCATATGTGTATACAGAAAGTAAAATATTAGAAAATGTCATGCAAATATTTTCACTTTTTAGTGATACATATGTGCCCATAATTATGAAAGTGTTCTAACATAAGTCAAAATTAAAAAAAAAAAAAATGAGTTTATCAGTTAGTACGCACTACATTATTATAAACTAAATAAATTCAATGTAATTTGAAAACGATATTAACAAAAATGAATCATTAAATAATATTTGTTATTTCAATATTACATAGAATTCATGTGACGTTCAAATAGAAATCTTGAAATATTTCGAAACAAGAGATACATGACTTAAACCATTTTCATAATTATATGGGCACATATGTATCATATGTGCTATATCAATCAAATAAATTAGCATAATATTTTTAAGATAAAATATCAATTATTATAATTGTCATAAAATAAACTACAAATGAAAAATAATATACACACGTAAAATGCATTAGAGTAATTAATGAAACAACGTTCAAATGCACCTGTGTGTTTTTGTACAAACATGATCCACATATGTTATATATATATATATATATATATATATATGCCAGTCAATTAAATTAAATGTTGTTTCAAACTCGAATACTATGAGTTACTTAACAAACAAAAGAGAGAAAGAGAAAGAAAAAAGAAAGATAAAGATAAAGAAAAAGAAAAGATGAACTAACTTTCATCGTACGAGTTTTGCAAGTACCTGTATAAGTTTATGTATGTATGTGTATATATATATATAGGAAGGAAAAATATATGCTRGTATCTTTCTCGTTGAAGAAACTCCCACTCTTCCTCCTACACCCCCACCCCCACCCCCCACTCTTACTTTGCTCTCTAACTCTTTTGTTCGATATGAATGGAGATTTTGAAGTCACCGAGAGAGTCAAGATGGCCTTTTCAAAGGGACACACCAGACGTACTCGAAATTAAGGATGAAAAGTAACACACATAACACACAACACACACACACACACACACACGAAGAGTTGCTAAGATTCTTACGACGTTGTAGAAAGAACAATTTCTACAAAGTCGAATGCATTTTCTATTCATTTGCAAATGAAATTTTCTTTCATTACTTAGCTAATGCGTCAACGTTATTTTTTATTGAAATATAATATCGAAAAAATAAATTCCAATATTATTTCTCGAATCAAGCATATATATATATGATTGTTATTATATGATTATGGGCTATAATGTCTAAGTGGGGGAAAAAAAAGAAAAAAATAAATGAAAACATTACTCACCAAATGTGTTGGCTCCTCTCCTGATGACAGTCTTACACCTTGGTGTAAGCAAGCAAAACACCTGCACAGATAATAAAAGTACCGTTTTAATTTTTCTTCTTCTTTCTTTTTTTTTTTATTTGATTTTTGTATTTTTTCATTTGTTTATTATTCATCCAATAATGAAAATCGATTGATCACTAAACTTACGTAAAAAAAAAAAAAAAAAAGTAAAAAATAGAACAGACTTTTTTGCTTTCGTATTTTTTTTCTTTTTGGTTACACACGAATCAAAAAATGTCAACATTAAATTCAATAAGTTTGGCCCACCCAGTATAATATAATATCTATGATAATATATTAACAATTAAATTATACTTTCTTTTTTTTTTTTTCAAACGTCGTCAGATAAATTTTGATTTAAATTACACAAGCATGGAATGTTCAAACGTAAATGATTGGTAATTGATTTTGAAAATCACCTAGAAACAACAACTCGTAGATTAATGATGTTAAGCAAATGAAACAAATGGATAGAAATGCGTGTATGTATTATAAAATAGTTATCATAGAAAAAAAAAAAAAAACCGGTTTTACTTCTTAATAAACCGATTGCAATCTTATACGAAGTAGTACATTTCCGATGAAATAAACACATCACAAGGTAATAAACAACACGAAAGAAACAAATGTAATAGAAAAATGATGTCAAATAGAAAGTTACAAATGAAATACGATTTAAGTAYAAAGTATAAACACTTTTCTATCACTATCACTATCACACTAGCTCACTATCTCAATTTGTGTTATACAAAACCAATGACAGATGAATCATCATAGACATTAGGTATAATAAACAAAACCGATCACTTTGACGTAATTTATGTAAACACGACTAACGAATATCTTCTAGTTGTTAGTAAAGTAAAAACAAAAAAAAAACAAAAAAAGAAAAATATAAAACGATCTAAGAACGAATAATACAATTTAAATTTTGTATTTAAATGAAGGTTTGTCTGTTAATGATAATAAATTAATATAATAATAATCACTGAAACGTATAATATAGTAATAATTAAAAAATATAATAAAATAAATAACAATGTGACTATAAATTATTATACAATAAATTATTACAAAGAAAATAAAGAGGAAACTTCACTTTAACGTATAATAATAATAATAATAATAATAATTATTATTATTATTATTATTAACAAAAAACAATTAAAATAAAATAAAATTAAACTAAATCTCACTAATACAATTGTATAAATATTGTATTTAAATTAGGTTCTTTTTTGTTAATAATAATAATAATAATTAACAAAAACAATTGAAATAAAATTATTAGATTGTTCGGAAAATAATTTCATTTTATTCCTGACACAATAATAATAACATTAATTAATGCAAACCGGCAAAATAAAACAACACGTGTAATCGTTAAGAGTTTAAATTTATCAAATTAATCTATATTTTAATTCCACTGGAAAATCTTAAGTTTAATTTCGAAACAAATATTATCTTCATTTTCACACAAAAAGAAAAAAGAAACAAAAAACGAAATTACTTTCCTAACAAACCCAATAGAATACAAATAAATCTCACTTGTTGAACAACTTTACCTTTCTTCCTAAACAAAAAAAACACTTCTAATCTCTCTCTCTCTCTCTCTCTCTCTCTCTACCTCTCCCTCTTTCTCTGTTAAAAGTAAGAACAAACGAATAATTATAATAGAATACAACAACAAAAATGCGTGTCTGTAGAATAATAAAATACAGTAGGGACTATCAAAAGTGAACTGATACTCTAGACGCTAGAAACATGAGTAAGTTTAGCTACTTAGTAGAACTCCTTCTTCTTCTTCTTCTTCCCCTCTACCCACTACCCCCCACCCCACTCCCTTCTTCCACTCTCTCTCTCTATCTCTCTTTCATATACGTGATGAACAAGAAGAAAAGGAGAAGAAGGAGGAGGAGGAGGAGGAAGAAGAAGAAGTTGGTGGGGGTTGGTGGAATGTTGTGTACAGTATGAAAAGGGACGGTGTGAACAAAGGGAGAGGAAAGGGGGAGAATGCACGCGTATATGATGCGTGAATACACTCTCTCAATGCATGCATGTATGCATTCTTTCTGTCTCTCTCTTTCTTTCTAACAGTGCTGTGTCAACGAAATGCAAATATGTACTACTACACCAGTTTTATTTTTCTCTTAAGCTGAGACACATTGTTCAAATGCGTGAACGAAATATCAATGCTGTTATGTTGCTTGTTTGCTTTCTATCACTCTCTCTTTCTTTCTCTCTCTTTGATTTCTTTTTTATTTTGTTCTAAACGATTAAAGATTCTACTATTATTAGGGTTCTACTATTATGAATTCTATCGGTGACACCATAGGTATATTTGATTTTTTTCAATTATTTAACACGTTGACGCCGGCGCCAATTTTCAGGTTCAAACCTGAACCAAGGTGGACCACCGGTGGTGCGCGCCGTCCGATGGGACAGTCTAGTGCGGGCCACGTGTTAAGGTAATTTATTTGGCTAAATTTTGGGCACACGATTATGGTAATTTTTTCTTTTCTTTTTGTAGTTATTTATATTATTTTTATATTATCCATATTATTATCCATATTATGAATTATTTTCTAATTATTTCCGTCATTGCATATTACGATAAACTTTTGACAGATGTTTAAAGTTATTTGTTGTTATTGTTGTTGTTTTTTTTGTTACCTTACGAGACTATTCTGTAAAGTTAGAAGGGGGATGGGGTAGGGGGTAGGGGGGGAAGGTGATTTAATGAAATATGTATGAAGGAATTCTCGAAGTATTTTAGATTATGCGCATTCGAGTTTTATTGGTTTGTAACGAAACACCTATTGGTTATGTAGAATTATTATTGTCTCTACTAACGTGAGAAAAGGAGAAAAAAGATGAAAGTTATATAATAATAATAATAATAATAATAATAATAATACATACATACATACATACACGAAGTATATCTTGAAATTCTTCAAGCACGTTTTATATGTATGTTTATATTGAAAAAAATATGTATGAATGTTTTGAGTTTAAGTGTGTATGATAAAATATGATGATAAAACTTGTGAATATACGAAGTATTCTTTAAAAAAAAAAAAAAAAAACAGAATAGTTATATAGTTGCATTATAGTTAGTGCAATATGCATTTATATGAGAATGTGATATTGGAATGGAAAAAATTGTATAACTTGAAAATCTTTTCGTTGCTTTGAAAAAACGAATGAAATTATTCTTTTTTTTGAATAGCACACACACACACGGTGGTATTTTGCAAATTCTTTTCTTTTGAATTATTTTCTTAGAATTTATAAGTCGGTAAAAAAAAAAAAATAAAAGAAGAAGAAGAAGATGATGATGATGATGATAATAAAATGGTTTCAGATGGAAGCATGCGTGTCTCAGAATGGTTTAAGATGAACAGATGATTCCAAAAATCTCAACGATTTTCATCATTTTGAAAAGGTAAGGGGAATGAGAGAGAAAAAAAAAAGGGAAAGAAGGGGAAAAGAAGAAAGCATACGAGGAAAAGAAAAGCGTTTTACTAGGGAACGCGTTTGAAAGAAATCCGATGGTAGCTCCAGGGTTCTCAGGGTTGAGTTCTCATATCCCTCATAGAAAATTCTTTAAGGGGAGACAAGAAAACCTGGAAAATTTTCTTCGCAAACGTTCAACGTTTTCCACAGTGTATAAGAAAAAGACATAAAGGAAAAATAAATGGACACAAGAGAAAGAAAAAGTTGTAAAACCTTCTTTTTGGTTTCCTTTTGTTTAATTTTTTTTTTTTTTTTTGAAAGAAGAGAAGAATCGAGAAGACTCGTTTTGTAGTAAAATATTCTACACACGTGACAGCACCATAATAATAATAATAATAATAACAATGAGTAAAATAATTAGACGAGGAATTTTTCTATATGGTCTAAATGTTCAACAAAATAAATTCTACTATTTTTAACATTAGAAACAATTATTAACCTCATTAACTGCCAAATTATTTGTGGTTACAGAACTATTGATATTTTTTTGAAAAAGTTTTCAATGGGAATTGTGGCTTGTTGCACGAAAAAAAAAACCAATAAAGCGACTATTATTTATTTCTTTTATTATTTCCTATACATACTATGCCATTTTTCTCATACACTTCACATAAAACCGAGTGGTGTACGTAAAATTCCAAAATCCTCAAATGGAGATCGTGGTAACAGCTAATGGGTTAATAATAATTTCATACAATAATACAATATACAGGAAAGATCGTTGTTATCGTCAAAATATAAATTGCAAACAAATGTCAAAGTTAATTTAACGAATAAATAAAAAAAAAACCAAGCACAGCAATTAGAAGACGAACAATTTTTGTAGAACGAGAAAAAAAAACAAATCCTATGATTTGAAACAAACCTCCCCCAAAAAAGAAATTAGCTTCTGTAATAACTATAGATATTTTGGTCTGTATAAAACAAAATAAAATAAAATAAAATTCCAAAATAAATAGACTAAGAGCAAAAGACTAAAAAGTTTCCCACAATTAAGCGAATAATCCTAACACGATCCAATCGCAAAAGTTAATCCCTGAATAAAGCCGCAATTTAAAACAAAAACCAAAAAACAAAAAAAAATAAAAATAAATGGAATAGAAACATTAATAAAAATACGAACCAATGTTAACTTAATATAACCCAACACTCAAAAACTCGGTTTCTTCCTTTTTCTTCAAGACGATGATGATGATGATGATGATGATGATGAGAACTTGTGCACAAACAATAATATCCAAAATAATTTGAAATTGTTGACAAAAAATTCAACTTTATTCTCCTTTTTTTTTTTATTTTATTTTATTTTGAAAACCGAAAATGATTATTATCACCAAGATGATGAAGTCCGTGACAAAAGTATTTTTTACCCAAATGATAATAATCCAAATACAGTTTGGTCACAGTAAAACAACAACAAAAAATTACATTACATATATTAGCATAGACAACCATCAACTAACGTAGAACAAATAGGATGCATTTAAGGATGCATTTAAG